TTTTTTTTTTTTTTTTTTTTTTTTTTTTTAAATTAGTTTAACGACTATTCAGTCATTGAGATGATGTTATCTACAAAGGTGGTTGCGAATCCAAAAATGGATCATTGAGATCATAGATCGTGTCTTCATCTTCTTCCTCTATAATAGAAGGAGAAGATGTTGAACCGACTGATGTGGCTTCTTGAAGAAGCTTTTGAAAATCAGCTTCCGAAGTTGTCTGGGCTAATGCGGCGAGTAGCCTCGACTTTGAATTAAGAAATTCAGAGGTCTTCTTCTTGGATAAATCCTGAAGGTGGCCATTCTCAGATAGCCAGACCTTTACTGCTTTGATGTCTGCGTGGGTATAAGTATATTTATCCCACCATTTGATTTTGATAATTTTGAAGACCTGTTTTATTTGGTCTTCGTTCTCTTTTATTTGAAAATTCCAGGTTAATATCCAAGGGATTTGAAAATATACACAAAAGCGCATGGTCAATGGAAATGGGATTTTGAATATGTTTTGAACAAAATAGTGGAAAGATTCCTGGATTGGAACTGGGAATATATCTTTGGCTGATCCAAAGATTTTCCACCATTTGATGAACCAAAACGGGTAATGAATTTTATGAGCATTTTGGCAGAATTGAATGAACCATGAATGCTCATAATTTTGATACCAAATGACATTGAACCATGCCATCTGATAGTCTCTGTATGAGTAAGAATGAGGAACAAAAGGTTTTGAGAATGTCTTTTCCGTGTATGGGTCTTGATTCCAATACGTCGGATTCATGACTTTAAAAATTTTTAATTTTGAATACGCGATTTTCGATTATATCAAGGAAAGTAAGATTCACATTAACTCGTTGATCAATTATATCAAGGCAAGAAAATATGTTTGAGATTTGAATCACTTCACCAGCAAGATTAATTATGTCAAACTTGAATAATTCTAGACATGCAACCTAAACTACATAGAATTGTATAGAAACTTAGCTCTGGGCTATAGGAAAGCAAAGAAACACTTTTTACAACATTTTTCAAGTCTATTTTACAAAGACAACATACATGGTTTTATACAGCCTCAAAACGAGACCCTTGACTTTCCATGAGACATTTCAAGAGTTGTAACCTTCATACTTTATGACTGTAATTATCCACTCTATAAATGTAGCCTAAAAGTAAATAAAAAGTCTTAAAACTTAAAATATAATTATGGAACACTCTAAATCTAGATTATCATCTACCCAAGAATTTGTAACCATTTAAGAATAAATGAAGTCTCACTTGACGTAGCTTGAATTTATTGTTGCATAAATGAAGTTTGATTCTTCTTTGATGTGACATAAATTGCAAATTGAGTTTATTTCGTGTTAATTTGAACAACATTTTTTACATCTTCTTTGAAATTCATATTACATGATTAGGATGCCTTGATTCATATCATTCTCCACTCCTTCCAGAGGATTCGTCCTCAAATATATTTGTGAAACTTTGGTGCAAAAAAATAAGTTAGGAGAAACAACCAAACAAAACCAGTGTGAGAACCAAAAATAAAAGGCAGCAACAACCAATCTTCGAGGTGGCAGTAAGAAACGAAGACAAGATTATCCTGAAGGCAAACTAACATCGAAAACAATCAGGAGGCAAACAAAGAGTCTGAAGCAGCGAGACAACCAAAACAACGCTTCAACGGGCACAAAACCATTGATCGAAAAACCTTGAGAAAGAAACAACTTTGTGGCAAACCAATGATAGGAAAATGTAATAAATAATATTAAGAGATCCAAATCTTCAACGAAGAAACGCTCATCTCCAAACCAAATACAAAAATACTTATTGTCAATACAACAACCACTATGCTCCTTGACAAAGTGACTTTGATAAACAACCAGGAAAGAAAAGAATCTCACAAAACCAAACCAAACCACACTTTCTTAAAGGTATGGAGAACCCAACCAAAGGAGCAAACCAACACTCTAAACTGAAGGAGAAAAAGAATTTGGTGATGGAGAAGAACGGTGAAGAAGAATGATTGGCGATGAATGAAGTAAACGGGTAGGAGAAAAGAAATCCCAAAAATGTCTAAGAACCCACAATGATGGTGGATGGCGCAACGATTGACGATAATGCTTATCTTATTTATCTTTTAAAAATTAAACTAGTTTTCTATTGAATGCTATAATTGATTGTAAATTGCAATGTTGTATTGTTTAGTACTTCCTATTTATTTTTTAAAAAAAATTATAGTTTTTTTTTTTCTAAAAAAATGCAACTCAGTTGTATATAGTGGGGTATACTCCCTTCTAACATGACTTTCTTTCTTTCCTCTTTTTGGTGGCAGTGTGGTATTAGTGTGTAATACTAGTTCTTTAGCTCAACATGAAGCAAATTTGCAGAATCGTGTGATGCTTGTGCCTTCTTACTCTGATGAATTAATGGCCGATCATTCTTTAATTGTATCTGAGGCTGATCATTCTTTAATTGTATCTGATGCTGAACTTAGTCTGGTAGATCACACCCTGGTTATTGGACAAGAATTTCCTGATGTTGAAACTTGCCGGAGAATGTTGAAAGATATTGCTATAGCTATGCATTTTGATATTCGAATCGTTAAATCTGATCGTAGTCGGTTTATAGCCAAATGCTCCAAGGAAGGTTGCCCTTGGCGCGTGCATGTAGCAAAATGCCCTGGAGTTCCAACCTTTACAGTTAGAACCCTACATGGCGAGCATACTTGTGAAGGTGTTCGTAATCTTCATCATCAGCAAGCCTCTGTGGGATGGGTTGCCAGATCTGTGGCAGCACAAGTACGAGATAATCCACAGTATAAACCCAAGGAAATTCTCCGGGATATCCGCGATCAGCACGGAGTTGCTGTATCCTACATGCAAGCTTGGCGTGGGAAAGAACGTAGCATGGCTGCACTTCATGGAACTTTTGAAGATGGGTATCGCCTTCTTCCTGCTTATTGTGAACAAATAAGGAAAACAAACCCTGGAAGTTTTGCTTCAGTTTTTGCAACTGGACAAGAAAATTGCTTCCAGCGATTGTTTGTTTCATATCGTGCTTCGATATATGGGTTTATAAACGCCTGTAGACCGCTTCTTGAGCTTGATAAAGTACATCTTAAAGGAAAATACTTAGGAGCCTTACTGTGTGCTGCGGTTGTTGATGCAGATGATTCATTGTTCCCATTAGCTATTGCAGTTGTTGATGTGGATAGTGATGAAAATTGGATGTGGTTCATGTCAGAATTGCGAAAGCTTCTTGGGGTAAATACTGATAGTATGCCTAGATTGACAATACTATCCGAAAGACAAAGAGGCATGGTTGAGGCAGTCGAAACACATTTTCCGAGTGCCTTTCATGGATTCTGTCTGCGTTATGTAAGTGAAAATTTTCGCGATACGTTTAAAAACACGAAGTTGGTCAATATTTTTTGGAATGCTGTTTATGCTCTCACTGCAGCTGAATTCGACAGCAAAATTGCTGAGATGGTGGAGATCTCACAAGAAGTAATAACATGGTTTGAACACTTCCCTCCCCAACTGTGGGCTGTAGCATATTTTGAAGGTGTGCGGTATGGCCATTTTACATTAGGGGTTACAGAGTTGTTGTATAATTGGGCACTCGAGTGTCACGAGCTCCCCATCGTGCAGATGATGGAACATATTCGTAACGAAATGGCATCTTGGTTTAATGAGCGGCGTGAAATGGGAATGAGATGGACCTCCATTCTCGTACCCTCTGCCGAGAAGCGGATCACCGAAGCAATTGCAGATGCTCGTTGTTATCAAGTACTTCGTGCAAATGAAGTTGAATTTGAAATCGTCTCAACTGAGCGGACAAATATCGTGGAGATACATAGTCGTGTGTGCTCCTGTCGTTGTTGGCAATTGTATGGTCTGCCTTGTGCTCATGCTGCAGCTGCTCTAATGTCATGTGGGCAGAATGCTCATCTATTTGCCGAGCCATGTTTCACCGTTGCTAGTTACCGTGAAACGTATTCTAAAATGATATACCCAATCCTCGACAAGAGCCTGTGGAAGGAATCGGGCGAAGGAGAAGGAGGTGCGAAGGTTGATATCACAATACGCCCTCCCAAAATTCGTCGCCCACCGGGAAGGCCGAAAAAGAAAGTTCTGAGAGTTGAAAACTTGAAGCGCCCAAAGAGGGTTGTACAGTGTGGTCGTTGCCATTTGTTGGGACACTCTCAAAAGAAATGCACAATGCCAATGGGACATTAAGGAGATTGTCGAATATATTATCTTCCATTAGAAATGCAATAGAATTAGTGTAATGTGCAATATTAATTCTCTTGTAACCTATAGTTGCAAAATAATGTACTAAGTTATTTTTTGCCTAATTAAATAGTTTTTTTTTAAATTTATTTATTAAATTTATCATCCTTGTTCGGATATAGGTATGTATATTATTTATAAGAGCTAATATATCTTTGTTTTCTTCATCCAGATACGTAATGTATCTTCATTTACCTTTACCCGTTTGAGCTAGTTTGATTTGAGTTTATATATCTTCATTTACCTTTACCTCCGGAAGGTATCGATACTTCAAAATATTCTGTATATTACTTGTGAACTCTTGTTCGAAAAGCGCCCATGATGTTCATCTAAAAAGAGATTTATACACTATAAGATATTACAATATAATAATAAAATAAAATTTTGATTAAGATTCTATTTAAATTTGTATGAATTGAAATTTTTAAGCCTATGTCCAAGAAGAATTTGTAAGACAACGAGATGAATTGATTTGAGTTTATATATATCTTAATAAATGAAGGAAGTAGAAAGCTCTATTCTAACTTTGATTTGTAGACTTCAAAGGTATAAAAATGGTTACAAACTAGGAATCATGAAGGTAAATAATATGGCTTCGAGTGCGTCTTACTTAGACATTCTAAGTACCTCCAATAGTTAAATTACTAGAAAACTTTTTAGGCATGCTATTTTGCCTATGATGTACCATTTGTTGAGGATTGTTGGGAGAGAGTCCCACATTAGCTAATTTAGAGAATGATCATACATCTCCATTGGTATGAAACCGGACAATATCATACTATTGTTGAGAGTGATAATTAGATTAAAATATTTGTAGAGATTTGAGTTTGAATGTTAAGTAATGAGGTTAAAATGTCTCTAAACAACATTTGCACCATAAGAAGGCCTGACTTGTTTGGGTAAGCTTGAAGGCCAACGGTTTAAGTCCTCAAAGCCTTAATAGTCTTTTAAAACATTGTTTAGGAAAGAACTTTAAAAGAAACAAAGTAAGAACTTTATTTTTGAAATCGTAATTCCAATCCTCTTTACAAATTTACTATATATATTCGGTTCTCAAAATAATAAATAATTATTCCGTCCAAATCAAAGAACAAGCTCATTAGAAATTACTATATATATTTGGCTCTCGAATTTATAAGGAGAAATTAAAGATGCTATGATCTAGTCTCATACAAGTTCACCGGAAAACGATTTCCCAACATCTTCGTGGCTACTCCAAAGAATTTTTTGGATTGAAAAAATTTGCATATAGGTGTATATGGGTTTATTAGAAGGGGAAAAAAAAAAGGGAAATTAAGAACGGTTCTTGGTGTTCATGCACTTCTCAACAGTCTTTGCATTTGCTTTGACAAATTGCTTGGAGTCTTTGGTAGTCTCAACCACTGTGTCCTTTGCCCTATGGGCTGAGTCCTTTGCTGCTTCCATTGCCTCCTTTGCCTTTGCCGATACCTCTTGCGCTCTTGCACTCAGCATCCCTGCCATATCCCTTGTCTTCTCACTCACCTGCATTTTCAAATTCCCCATTTACTTATCTATCTTCAACATCGCTCTCATTCGTAGCTTCGATTCAGTTGATTTAAAAAATAAAATAAAAAATTGGGAGTTTTGATCACATGTTCTGCAGTAGAGTAAGCCTTGTCCTGCATCATATGTTCACCCGGTGTCATTCCTTCATTCGCCTCTGGGTTTATGGCATCTTTGGCTTCTGACCCATCTTGTGGTGGATTTGTCTGTCAAAGACGCACAAAAACATCACATCATCATCTGAAATGTGAGATTCGAATATCTAACTTCAAAAACATCACATCATCATCTGAAATGTGAGATTCGAATATCTAACTTCAAAAACATCACATCATCATCTGAAATGTAAGATTCGAATATCTAACTTCAAAAACATCACATCATCATCTGAAATGTGAGATTCGAATATCTAACTTCTTCAATTTTTACCCTTTTAACGAACGTACTTACATGAATAAATTTGGGGTTGGAAGCGAAAAGGAGGGAAGTGTTGGAAGTGGGTGATCTCCTTGCAATGGCTGGTGCCCCAAAATGACCAAACTTTGGTAGGCTTTTGAAGAGGGTGGAGCTTCCCATTTTTTTTTATTTATTTATTTATTATTTTTGTGAAGTTTGAAAGAAGAATTAATTGAGGAGTGGAAATGAGAAAGAGGGTATTTATAGAGTAAGAAAAGTGCCAAATAAAGGGTTTTGGTTGTCAAAATGAGAGCATTTTGCGCACATCATTGGCCTCCCACTTACTCAGCTGACCAACTTTTTTTTTTTTCTTTTCCAAACTTTTAAATATTTTGATTTAATCCATTCTAACTTTGCATAAAAAAATTATTTTTGAGAGTTATCTAAAAGAAAAAGAAGTCGAGCCTTGATTAAGGGGAGACGTACTTCGTTCGAGGGGAGGTGTTGGATGATGAAAGTCCCACCTTAGCTAATTTAGGGAATGATCATGGATTTATAATCAAATAATACTATCTCATTGGGATGAGGCCTTTTTGGAAGCCCAAAGCAAAGACACGAGAGCTTATGCTCAAAGTCGACAATATCATACCATTGTGGAGAGTCGTGTTCATATTTAGAACTATTAAAGTGAAAACAAGTACCAAAAATTGAGAGGACGGTGCTGAGAAGTCCTAAGATAGCTTCTCGATGTTGCTATAGCGAATCTTGATGCTACAAACATGTAACATCGTGCCTCACTTGATGCTATGATTTCTCGCTCAATACACCTCTATACTTAAAACACACTGCGTTGAGAAGTTATAGGTAGTCTTGACGTTTCATCAATTTTTCTTATTTCTTTCATACAGTTTAGCGTAGCATATTGAGGTGTTAGCCCTAGTGTCTCAATGCTACCTCTTTTTCGAGAGGAAAATAAAAAAATATTTATATTTCGATTATACACTATTTCGGAGTGTTGAAGGAGACTTTTGGAGAGAAAAATTATGTATGTTAGGAACAACGACCATTCACCTTGGCATATGATATTTTGTTCACTTTGAACACCTTTTGATCAATATTGGGTAAAGCCCTCGAACAAAGTATATCATAGATCATCCCGCTAAGTTAAGACAAGGGAATGACTTTGATACCAAATTAGAAACAACGACCATCCACATTGATATGATACTATCTACTTTAGACATAGGCTCTCATTGCTTTATTTTATGTTTCCCCAAAAAACCTCATACAAATAAAAATATAACGATCGTCATATGATTTTGATGGTAAAGCAATTGTACGTCAGTATACCTTAATGTAATATATCAGTCAACTTTGAAAATGTAACGACCCAATGTCTAGGATCCTGGCATTCCTATGCAATCTCCTGGACATGGTGATGTTACTTATTCTTCGCTTCTTAAGAGTGAAAACGATCCTCACAGACGAACACGGCGTTTAATAATTCTAAATAAAGCACGCTTAACCATGAAGTTTCTATGATCAGATGTCCCCGAAAATATAAAATATACATTTTTTCAAATTATAGATTATATCAAATGTATCAATTATATATTAGTAATAAATCAATATTCATTTAAAATGAAATTTCATGTATAATTTTAGTGGTTCAAATTTAATTTCAAGTATATCATATCATTAATGGATTTATATCGTTATATATATTATAGTATAAAATATTATTAATGATGCATCAATATTAGTAGAATTTATAATTATTCAAATACAATTTTAGACAAAATAACAGAAAAACACAAATCAATTGATAATTATACGTTGATAAAAAATACTAAGTGAAAATTGTAACATATTAACATGGTTCAACATTGTCATAAAACTAAAAACAAATAAATATCCACACTCGTTGGGAATTGGTTAAACTAACAAAAATATAAAGATATACCCTAAAATTATAAATAGAGTGTTTTAAAATAGTATGAAATATTAAAGTATTTTAAAAATAATAAATTAAGAATAACAAAATAATATAAAGAAATAATGTTTTTGACTGACATCAAACTCGCGCAAGTATTTTTAGACCAGTCGAAGTGCCACCCTGACAAAACAATAATTATTGTACATTTCTTAATAGACCTGAAGGTTTTGTCCTATGAACTCGAAACTAGACCGAACTAGTTCGGGTTCAAAAAAAATGAACTCAACCCAAACCTTATAGTTCACGTTGGGTTGGTCGCCCAATAACATCTTGTATCATTTATTGCTTTATCAAAATTGAAGAACATCATCCCTGTTTATTCGGTTACACAATGTTTGACCCATATCCCTTTAACTAATAAAATATGTAGTAAATAATGATACGTTAGCTAACTAAAAACGCTATTATATATGTTTTATAGTGTTTTTCGAATGTCTTAACAACTGGCATAATTAAAAATTTAGAATTTTTTACCGTGTTTGTGTATAGTTATAATAGCTGCTCTAATATAGTACGAAGGTATAGCTTATATATGTTGCAACATTTTTATTAAAGCTTTAATATCTTTACGTAGCTAAAAGATTAAGAGACGCTTGACATCGAGAACTGAGGAACGAGGGAGAAAGGAGCAACATTGAAAACTAGGGAACAATAGAGAATGGGGATATGCTCCCCTGGGTGCGAATTGGATGTTAATGTGGAGTTGCTTTAACACATTCAAGATATCGTATACCTATTGGAACAACCCTAATTTCTTACTAAAATAGAGTCGCTATCATGTGCATGACGTGACTTTTTTAAATAAAAATATTAATTTAAACTAATTTATAAAACGATGCATTGGGCTTGAGCGATCGCATTAAAAACCTTAAAACAAAACACCAAAAAATAATTAATGTGAAATATAAATAAAACAAAGAAAATATTAAGATAATGTCGTGATCTAACCTACAAAAGCTACAAAATAAGTAAAATGCAACTATCTAACACAAGTTTCATGGTATTCAATGTTAAACCGTCGTCATCCATATAAGAAAAGAATAGAACAAGGCATGAGTTTTTTAAGAAATACTCAATCCCACTATTGGGATCGAGGAATGCAAACAAATACAGAATGATGGGACATATCATTTAAAACCGTCTTCTCTTAGGCGGCTTGACAAATTGGATATATAGTACTTCTTTACACACAACCCACGTGTGCCTACCGGGCGAGCTCGCACACCTCTTGAGCCTACTGCTACTGGTCAAGCTATTTCTTTGAGCTGTTGTCGGACACTCGGAGGGAATAGCGACCGTTGTAGCATTATGGTAAACATGATGGTTATTTTCATTTCACAGTGTACGCGTTCGTACTCATCATAAAGTAGAAATATCCCGATGCATGTGAACATACGATTATGCATGAGGTTCCCATATTTTCTTCGTAGCTTAATAAATCATGAAAGACAACTCACATTCTTTCATCACATATCACACTCGGTAATATGCGTACCTAAACTCTCATAAATGTCTAAGGGAAATATTTTTGTTCAACCAAGACTCGTAATCGAAGAGTTTAGTATAACACTTGCTATATAGAGGTATCAAGTTGGCTTAATGGCTCCTCTTGTTATCCTTTTTGTCTTTAATTAGGAGTATGAACACTATTATAAAATAGGTCGAGAAATCTGAGTGAGCTCAATTAACTAGAATATTTATTTTCCCTAATACAAAAAATGATTTCTGTTTCGGATATTTTTTATTATTACTTTACCAGGTTTAAAATTTGAAACTAATTTATCTTTATTATTATTAAGAATTTAGGACCATTTTAAGGTAGAATTTTAATTAGTTTTAAATTAGGTTCATTGATATAATAATTAATAAAAAGAACATAATCTAATAATTAATATTTAATTAAAGATTAATAAATTAGAAATAAACATTGAATAGGGTCACATATGCAAAACACTCATGAGCCTCATGTGAGCCTATGTCAAGGATTTGGATCCGTATTTAAAATTAAGATCCGACCCAGATCTCCGCTAAAGTTAAAGGTGAAATTTAATCTATTTAGTACCCAAGTACCTCTCCCTATTCGGTCCTTCAAAAGCTGGTTGGTTACCTCCTCTCTGTCTTAGCCTTTCTAGCTTTGTTTTATTCCCTTCGATCCCAGCTCGTTGCGCCTAGTTTTGGTGTAGCAGCTATATTTCGATTCATCCTCTTTTTCCAAGGGTTTCATAATTGGACATTGAACGCATTTCATATGATGGGAGTTACAGGTGTATTGGGCGCTGCTCAGCTATGTGCTATTCATGGTGCTACCGTAGAAAATACCTTATTTGAAGATGGTGATGGTGCAAATACATTCCGTGTTTTTAACCCAACTCAAGCTGAAGAAACTTATTCAATGGTCACTGCCAACCGCTTTTGGTCCCACGTGTATGCCCAACATTCTCCTACGTCTCTTACAACACTGTCATAATGCTTGCTTTTTTGTTTTAAGAGTGAAAATTGTCCAGTATGTTTTGTCCTCCCTCACATGTCATTTCAAAATTTTAGAGTCTAAACAGATACTAATCGCCGACCTTAACAATGAAAAAATGTATTTTCAAGGTTTTACTGAATTTGAAGAGTTAAATGAATGAAATTAGGGTTTGAAAGTTAGAAAGGAAGGTAATTAAAAAGTGTAGTCTTTGATGACTTTGAAAAGGTGAAGTCCACCCAATTAAGAATAAAGGAAAAAAGGAAAAGGGAAAGAAAATAAAATATTATTTCCTCTCCTTTTGTTTTCACCATAAGAAGGAACCTTGCAACTTCCTCCCATCCATAAATCATATTTTATTATTTCTAAATATATTATTATTATTATTATTCTTATTAAATTATCTATGTTTATTTTACCCTTTTCTACCTGTTTGATTGGGTAAATTTTATCTTCGGTGAAAGAGTTGAATTGCATTAAACTAATATGAAATTTCGTGTTAGTTAGGTTGGTGACTCGAGAGTCCACAATCTAATCCAATCGTGCGAAAAAACTACTCTCGAGGAGGAGTATTTCGAAACTGCCTTAGAATGCACGCACAAACGTGCCGGAAATATTTTTTTACATGCGTGTGAAAAAACCACACCTGTGGAGCAGGGAGCCGCCCTAGAACGCAAAAGAAAACGTGTCGACGCGCAAAATTGGTGCCCAACCATCGAATTAGGGCATCCCCACCCTAGAACGCAAGCGAAAAAAGCTGGCCGCCCTAGAACGCAAGCGAAAACGCACGAGTGCCGCGAAATGAATGCATTGAGAATGGAATGGGTGGCTACTGTATTTTTACTTGCATTTTTACTGGGTGGCTACTGTATAATGAAGTAATAAATAATTATTGGAAATTAGCATGAAATCAGGACTCGTCGTCTCCTGTAAGGATTAATAAAAATAAAGTGTGTACGGAGAAAGAAAGGATTGAAAAGCAGAGACATTGGAGGCCCACTCTCACGTCACTTCTATGACGTCCTCTCTTATTCTTCCTTCTCCCGGAGCCCCACCCTTTCCTCTTCCCCCTACTCTATAAGAACACCACCACACCCATCGCCTCACTTCTATCTCCGCTTCACCTCCCACACTCTTCACATTTGTAAGTCCTTTCTATATTCTCTCTGCTTTTATGCTTTGGCATATTTACATTTGCTTTGCTTTTTCTGTTTCTGATCTTCCTTCAATGTTCTGTTTGGAGGAGATTTTGATCCTTTTTTTTTTTTTTTTTTTGCAATGATCGCTACGGTGTTTGTGTTTGTGTTTGTGTTTTTTTTTTTTTTTTTTTTTTTTTTTTTTTTTTTTTTTTTTTTTTTTTTTTTTTTTTTTTTT